GAGCCGGCCTGAGGGGCGTGGGTGGGGCTTGGAGTCTGGGGGCAGAAGCAAAACACTGTCGCTGAGTTTGTAGTTAGCCAGTTGACGTATATAATAAGCGAAAAGTTTGTACTTCAACTTTGTTAATTTATAGGCATAATTTTAAATGTGAAAGATTGTTTTTTACAGATTATATTTTTATCGGGGAGTCCCTCATAATATGGTACATTCCCTGTACACTCACTAGAATAATATCGGAGCTCCACCTCTTATTTTTAGGTCCTGCCCCTTCTTAAACTCTGCTTGCCTTTTTTTTTTTTTTTTTTGGTTACAGTTCACTCGATCCTTTCATATATTTATTGTCATCGTCACAAACGAGAAACAGGATTTGTCCTCTCATTTCACAACCTAGAAATGACTGACCCAGGTTTTCATGGCTGGTTAGAATTAGTGCTGGAACTTGAACCCAAGACCAAAGATCATTATTTTCCACAGCATCAAGAACACCTGTTTTGGTTACATTCACATATACAAGGGATTCGGTTGTCTCTCTATTAATAGGTGTAAGCATGCTTGAATTGATGGTAGGAATAGATTTCATACATCTTGGATACTTCTAGACCAAACTGGTATTTCCCTTAAGCCCTTGATGCCTCAGAAAAGTGGTCTGTGGTCTTCCTGTCATGTTTAAAATATAGTACATGAGCCCGCAACATTGACATTAGGTTACAACTGTACAGTCTCAACTCCCACCAAGGTTTCCTAAATCAGAACCCGCAGTTTAATGTGATCCCTGGACGATTCCCATGGACATAAAGTTTGAGATACACTGAAAACTCTAAAGCTTTTCTATTTGAATGTCTCATTCTAGATCAGTATGATTAAATGTCTTTGTCCTGGATTCTACCCATCTTTTCAATGAAATTATTCTTTCAAAAGTGATTCTTGGCCTGGCTCTGTGGTAGTGGGAAAGGCTGTTCAAGTGACACTGGGCCTATATGGAGGATCTTGGAGTTAGTTACCCAGTCAACCTGTATATGTTGGGCATGGAGTGTTAGGTAGATTGCTGTGTGAGACCCTGTGGAGGGTACTGTGTGTTTCATTCTCTCATGAAATAAATAAACTTAAAAACTATGTAATATTATTCTATTAAGTTTAATTATTTCTTTGGGAGGAGGAGAGAGGGGGGCAGAGAGACAGACAGGAAGCCCCAGTAGGTCTTCACACTGTGATCCTCCACTAGTCTCACGGCCTGGATCATGGGCACTTGCACACTTCTTGGTGTACTTAGGGCAGTCTGGGGATGTAAAACCAGAACCATTCCCTTATGAATACAGTTATGTTACTACCTGGCCTATCTAGACTGTATTTATTGGCAAAGGGCATGTGCTCTTATTAGAGAGAGAGAAAGGGAAAGGGATAAAACACCCACAGGGAGGCATGATCATGCCATAATGCCTTCTCTACCATTTCTGCATCCTGTTGAGATTTAAGGTGAGGACAGAAGTCTGAGTGCTTTTCCCTATTTTTCTCAAATCCCTTCCATAGAGCCTAGGGTGTGTCACACTCACAAATATTAAGAGATTGTTTTGGCCCATTTGATAACAAGACTCTTCCTATATCCTGTCCCTGGGATAGTATCCTCGGAATGGGTAAGCGATGACCAAAATCATTAACTGACCATTTTGGCTCATTAGTAACAGGACTCTTCCAACATCCTGTCCTTGGGGTGGTATACAAGCCCCCTTATCTCTGTTATAGTACAGTCTTTGCTGATGCCTTTCCAAAGCACAGACCTCCCTTTCCAATCACCAACCTAAAGACTAAAACCCACTATGGCCTAGAAGCCCCGGCTTCCAGATGTCCTGCCTTTTTTGGGGGCCAGGCCAATGAAAGAACTCTTTTCATCAAATTTCAAACCTTGTCTCTCACTTCTCAAAATCAAGTGAAAGTAACCTCTGTAATCTGATCACCCCAAGAAAAGGCACATTTGCCTCTTCTCCAGACCTGGTCACACACATTTGTGTTTAGAAAAAAAAAGCACATTAATTATTATTTCTGAGTTGGTTATTTCTGTCCATATAGGCATACAAAAGACACACTCTTCTTGTTTTTCAACCTGGTGGGCCCAGGATTTGAACCTTGGTAAGCCATGTGGCACCTGGCATCCTTAACCACAAGGCCATAGGGCTGACCTAAACCTGACCTATGTAAAGTTATCCAATAAAAGTTACCTAAAATCACTAATAATTTCCTTGTTCTTTTCCATTTTTATAGTTATCCTTTTCTCTGTGGCATTTTACAGTATCTACCCATTCTTCTTAAAATTCCCATTCTTGAGGCCACACAGTGGTATAGTGGCAATGCAACTGGATCCATGTGGGAAGGTTCTGGATTTACATATTGAAACCTCCTTGAACATGACTGACACATGCCTGCCTCTGATCAGGACTAGCTGAGGCAGGGGGTAGATTGGGGTATAAAGACCCTATTGGAGAAAAAAAAAAAAAAAGACCCTATTGGGAATAGCATTCTCTCTCAGCCTCTTTCTCATGGAAAAAGTAAATAAATAAACTTTAAAAAATTCTTTCTTCTCTCTCTTTTGTTTTTTAATTGAGGTAGAATTTACAGAAAAAAAGTTTTCCCATTTCAAAAGCTCTGATGAGTTTTGGCAACTGTATACAATTGTGTAGTTATCATTCCCATCCATATGTAGAACATTTCTACAATCAATATACAAGGGATTCGGTTGTCTCTCTATTAATAGGTGTAAGCATGCTTGAATTGATGGTAGGAATAGATTTCATACATCTTGGATACTTCTAGACCAAACTGGTATTTCCCTTAAGCCCTTGATGCCTCAGAAAAGTGGTCTGTGGTCTTCCTGTCATGTTTAAAATATAGTACATGAGCCCGCAACATTGACATTAGGTTACAACTGTACAGTCTCAACTCCCACCAAGGTTTCCTAAATCAGAACCCGCAGTTTAATGTGATCCCTGGACGATTCCCATGGACATAAAGTTTGAGATACACTGAAAACTCTAAAGCTTTTCTATTTGAATGTCTCATTCTAGATCAGTATGATTAAATGTCTTTGTCCTGGATTCTACCCATCTTTTCAATGAAATTATTCTTTCAAAAGTGATTCTTGGCCTGGCTCTGTGGTAGTGGGAAAGGCTGTTCAAGTGACACTGGGCCTATATGGAGGATCTTGGAGTTAGTTACCCAGTCAACCTGTATATGTTGGGCATGGAGTGTTAGGTAGATTGCTGTGTGAGACCCTGTGGAGGGTACTGTGTGTTTCATTCTCTCATGAAATAAATAAACTTAAAAACTATGTAATATTATTCTATTAAGTTTAATTATTTCTTTGGGAGGAGGAGAGAGGGGGGCAGAGAGACAGACAGGAAGCCCCAGTAGGTCTTCACACTGTGATCCTCCACTAGTCTCACGGCCTGGATCATGGGCACTTGCACACTTCTTGGTGTACTTAGGGCAGTCTGGGGATGTAAAACCAGAACCATTCCCTTATGAATACAGTTATGTTACTACCTGGCCTATCTAGACTGTATTTATTGGCAAAGGGCATGTGCTCTTATTAGAGAGAGAGAAAGGGAAAGGGATAAAACACCCACAGGGAGGCATGATCATGCCATAATGCCTTCTCTACCATTTCTGCATCCTGTTGAGATTTAAGGTGAGGACAGAAGTCTGAGTGCTTTTCCCTATTTTTCTCAAATCCCTTCCATAGAGCCTAGGGTGTGTCACACTCACAAATATTAAGAGATTGTTTTGGCCCATTTGATAACAAGACTCTTCCTATATCCTGTCCCTGGGATAGTATCCTCGGAATGGGTAAGCGATGACCAAAATCATTAACTGACCATTTTGGCTCATTAGTAACAGGACTCTTCCAACATCCTGTCCTTGGGGTGGTATACAAGCCCCCTTATCTCTGTTATAGTACAGTCTTTGCTGATGCCTTTCCAAAGCACAGACCTCCCTTTCCAATCACCAACCTAAAGACTAAAACCCACTATGGCCTAGAAGCCCCGGCTTCCAGATGTCCTGCCTTTTTTGGGGGCCAGGCCAATGAAAGAACTCTTTTCATCAAATTTCAAACCTTGTCTCTCACTTCTCAAAATCAAGTGAAAGTAACCTCTGTAATCTGATCACCCCAAGAAAAGGCACATTTGCCTCTTCTCCAGACCTGGTCACACACATTTGTGTTTAGAAAAAAAAAGCACATTAATTATTATTTCTGAGTTGGTTATTTCTGTCCATATAGGCATACAAAAGACACACTCTTCTTGTTTTTCAACCTGGTGGGCCCAGGATTTGAACCTTGGTAAGCCATGTGGCACCTGGCATCCTTAACCACAAGGCCATAGGGCTGACCTAAACCTGACCTATGTAAAGTTATCCAATAAAAGTTACCTAAAATCACTAATAATTTCCTTGTTCTTTTCCATTTTTATAGTTATCCTTTTCTCTGTGGCATTTTACAGTATCTACCCATTCTTCTTAAAATTCCCATTCTTGAGGCCACACAGTGGTATAGTGGCAATGCAACTGGATCCATGTGGGAAGGTTCTGGATTTACATATTGAAACCTCCTTGAACATGACTGACACATGCCTGCCTCTGATCAGGACTAGCTGAGGCAGGGGGTAGATTGGGGTATAAAGACCCTATTGGAGAAAAAAAAAAAAAAAGACCCTATTGGGAATAGCATTCTC